TGAAAAAATTGAATATATTATGTACGTCTCGTTTAGAGCCAACGGGACCCTATCTACACCAATTGGCCTAACTTAATTGAATTTTTAATTTAGGACCTGTCAATTTTAATATATTACCTTAACATTATTCATGAGTCAATTGTAACGAAACTGGTGTGACGCTTCATATAAGGATCGAAACTGTAATTTCTTTGATGTCGGTGCGTGCTTTGATGTTCCTTAATTTGTCATGTTAATAGAAGTATTTATTATCCAGAAAAGTAGCATCCGACCGACAATCAACAAAAATTATGTAGCGTTTTTTATCAGGCCTTAATCGAATATCCTACCCAGTTGTTAAAGAAATGTTTCTCAACAATTTAGTAATCTAATCTAAGAACGTCTAGAGAGTTAAATTATTCTTAAATCTTAATTTGTTTTGCAGATGGATTTATAAATCCTACAGCTCCGCTTGAATTACGAGCTAGCCTGAATAGCCGCTGCGCCCTGCTAGTTATGCCAATGTAATAAACATTCAGCCTCATAAATTTTGCTTATGGTAATATACACAAACTTTTATGGTATTATATGAACTTCTTTTATACCATAATGTTATAAATTATGTTCGTTTCAGTGTTGTGAACACGACCTAAATGATATTCCTCCCGGTGTTTTACTAGTAATAAATGATTTCTTCATTATAATGGTATCCATAATCGTTTTTATTACTGCAGGATTGGGGATTAAAAAAGTTTATACTGCCGTATAACGTTTTAAAGAAATATATTTACTTCGTATAATACATTTTTTTCTACACTAATTTGTGCTATTTTATTCCGACAGTATTTCTTTCAAAATTAGTTCTATTCACGATTCACTTCGTAATAAATTCCAATACCTACCCACTATTCACCATTAATAACCCAAGCTTAATTGTCTGTATAATGATGAATCATTTTTACACGTGGTGCTTTCAGTTGCAAAATTTAATATATACTGAAATGTTTTAAGGAGGGGATTGCACTAGATTTTTGTTTGACTTTGAAGTATGAAAAGTTGTATAACGATTTTATCTGAGTGGCAATCTCTGAAACCTATATCGGCAGTATCGACGGCAGCCGAAAATGATACAAGCGTATAATCAAGGCTTTAAAGCACGCGCAACGAATTTAATGGCACGACCCGAAGCGGAGTGCCTTTAACGTTGCAAGTGCTTTAAAGATTCGTTAAATCGTTTGTTGTAAAATCTAAACAAACGATAGGTGTAAAATCCAAATCCAGTAAAGCTTATTATAAAGAATACGATAAGTTGTTTCCATGCGGATGAATAGGAAGTTACTTACGAATGAAGTTTTAAATGCTTCGATAATGCTGGCATATATTAAGAAAATGTCAAAGGTATTTAAATCTTCTATCTTTTGGTGCATTCATTCAAAATGCTGCGATTGAAAAGTGGAATAGATTTGGAAGCATACCCTAAATTACGCGCGTTTGTGAAAGCTTCAACCAAAGGATAGGTACAAGCCAAAGAAATGTTCTGCATTTACAGAAAGCGACCTAAGATGATTTTTTATTTCACCCAGATGACAGTTTCAAAAATCATACTTTGAGTATCACTACTTAGCAACTTTAAAGCACGTGTGTTTTAAAGGCCTTTTTTCGCACGCATTTGAGTGTTTAAAATGGAGATTGTGATTCAGATATAATAAAAATTAGTTATTTATGCAACAAGTGAGTAAAGTATATCTTTTTTTCACGAGAAAATCCGCCGAGTGAAAAAACATACTTTACTCACGAATTGCATACAAAACTTTTTTCACGTTCGTACCTAAAAAAATTAAAGCATAAGAATAACAAAACACTGATGGGTTTTATTTATAAATATTAATATTTAATGTGCAATTAGTGGGATTAACAATTTGAATCTTGGAAGCTGATGCTGGATTTACATCCATTAAATGAGTGACACTGACAGATTCGTCAACCTCTTTAAGAATATCATCATATGCGCAGTGGAGATTATTGGGATTATTATATTATGAGATTATTATCGTTAATATCATCCACAGTAATCTTGTACAGTTCTTCACGACGAATGGCACCCGCGATTCCAAAAATGAGAGCAAGCTGTAAACGACAATACATCATGAAGCGTATAATGGTCATATTGTTAATACCTTGTGCATAAGAAACTGTTCATCAGGAGCATTGTGAAGGAACTTGTGCATTTCATCTCGAGAAAATGTCCTTGATTTCTTGGGTTTGTGGCGAACGGATTTGTTCTTCAAATAAGCAATTAGCTTTGAGTATTTCCGTATATCCACATTATTATTGATTAACAGTGTAGCCTTTAGTTTAGAATAGGTCGACCAAAGTGTTGGCGGCTTCCATTGTTTTGATTTTTCTTCCAAATAACATAATAACACCCTTTCACTAAAATTTCCAACGTGTTTTTCGGTTCTCCATTTCATAAATAAATCATATTCCTTCAAATATTGGTCCTTGGACTTTTCGGGTAACAGATTGGAGGTGGCGATACCTGCCGCGTTCACAATTTCTTCGGGGGTGAATGAAAAACTCGCAGTACTGTCCATTTTCATCGTTCAAGCACACAAATTACCCAAACCACAGCGAGATGAACTTAATACGTACTTGTAATTTTAACAAATGTCAGCGAGTATCATAGCAACGGCGGCCTCCTATGTTTCTTGTCTAAATAGTTTGCGTTAAAAAAATGACACGTTACGTTACTTTTTTCACTTATAATTGCACAAGAGGTTTGTATTTTACCGAGTAAATTTGGGTTGTTTAGGTAATGAAAATCTGTTACCTAGTAATTAGACGAGAAAAACTGTCAACTAATAAAAATGCGACACCGCAGGAGGAGCATTTTTAGGTTGACAGTTTTTCGAGTCCAATTGCTAAAAGGAAACAGATTTGAATTGCCACAACCCAAATTTACTCGGTTTAAATACAAACCTCGAGTGTAATTCGGCAGGACAATTTAACGAACAAGAAATTCACCATATTAATCAATTATTGACAGACGTCAAACTAGTCATATGGGAAAGGATAATGCGATAATTGGTTCGAAAATGAATAAGTGAAAAAACCACTAATGCATTTGTCGCTGGAAA